TCACATTGTTTGTGAACTCAAAGCAGCTGTTCCAGGGGTCCCTAGAAGGAAAAGAAGCATGTATGAGGGATGCCACCGTTTCCAACTTGCACCCACACAGCAGAAATGTAATGAAGGCTTCCTTGGGCTAGAATAGAATCAGTACTAAGGAGACTGGCTTCTTCTCACCTCATTTATATTGCTATTCTCGTAATAAGCATTTCAAAATCATGTTGACACTAAGTTGCTCTGGTTTTAGTATTTTAGAAAGACATGAAATGGCAGACTGTGCCTAGAAAACAAGTCTGCAACAACAACAACAACAAAAAACCAGCAAAAATAGGACTTTAAATACATTGCAAACAGAATGATTCATTCCTATTCTCCCTATTCTGCACCTTATTGTTGTTTAGAATCTCATTCTTTGTTTCCTCACTCATAGGAATTTTCTTACAGGAGCATTACATACTCATTGTCTCAAATTAGTTAATTAGATGGAATTAAATTCAAAATGGTATTTTTCAGGAATGAGTCTGTGAGATTCATTTCTTCATGGAAATCCCATCTGTGCTGCATGGAGAACTGAGTGATATATTGAAATATTATTACTTACGTTACTGAAACTATTGAGAAATTCACTCTGTATCATTTCAGAAAATAGAATAGAGCATTTTATAAGCCTAAAAGACAAACTCTGACAATGTAGATCTGTGAGTGGATCTATGCTATCTACTTCATGCCTCAGTTGTCTTGTATGTGTCTGTGTCTAGGTATTTATCATAGAAATGTTGTGGCAGTAACTCATTAGAAGTTCTGTTTTGTGCTATAAAATGTGTGGTACATGATCTTTGGCACATGTAAAAGTGTACTGAGCACATGATGGAAACCTTTCTGCTCCTTCTACCAGTATGGCAGAAGCCATCAGGAGCTTCATCTTTTAAGTCATTCAGTAAAGAATTATATTATTGTATTATTTTTGTCTAAGCTACATAGCTATTTGTGTCAAATATTGGGAATGTGTGTTTTTAATCTGTAGGTGTCCCTGTATTCATGACTGTATCTTGGCGTAAATTTGTACTGAGCATCATATTTTATAAATGACACATAAAAATAAGTTTTCATATCACCAATTATGATATGTTTTCATCAAAAGAGGCTGGAATTTGATTTGATTTTGTCACAAATACCTAGGATTGGAAAGCGATTGCTAATGTATGGAATATTGCCAATAGCTGAGCCTTCTGTTTGGAAGGGATGAGGTATGAGGTTCCTCTGCAGATCTGCAGAGCTACGTAGTCATTCCATCAGAATACTGAATTGAAACTACAGCTTTGATTCATACTTGTTTTGGAATTACATTACTGAAAAGAGTATTTGATAAACTAGAAAATAATATTACTGTCCATCCAGTTATTTTCTTTTCACTCCATGCTTGATATGTGGCAAGGATTTTATTCTCAGGAATTTGCTTTTCCATCTGAATTTTTTTTTTGCCAGCCTGCAATCCTTTTATTGATTTGCTGCCCCTTGCCCCACTCGTAACAGTTGTGTGCAGAGGTAACACCCAAGCAGGCATGGTGGCACAGCCCAAATTCTGGAGGGGCTTAGGAGAGTGATGAGTTCTGGGTACCTTGCCCTGCTCCTGAGTTCTTAAACATCTGATATGCTGAAAGGGGTGAATTGGTAAAGCAGGGCTTTGGAAGGGCTTTATACTGGGCACAACAAAAGGAGGAACTTCTGGAAAAGTTGTTTGCAACTGTTTTCCTTAGAAAGTTTGTAATTAGGACTTTTCACAACCTATCTAAATAGGGATCATGTGTTTTACACATAAACAATTCACAGTTATAGAACGGAGAATTATGTGAATACAGAAATCCAAGAATAACTCGATGAAAGCACAGACAATACTGACTTTAGTTCTGGCTATGCCTACATTTAGAAAAGTGGTGCCTTCCATATCGAATAAGATTGTGCCATGTCAAACAGCAGATCATTTAGAAAGACTGGGAGTGGGAGTTTCTGTTAATTTTGAACAGTGTGCTGACAAAAATCTTATTTTTTATTGATCCATTACATAAAATGATTGGAAACAGTGTTCTGGAAGATAGGTTGTAACCTACAGGTTTTGCATTAAGTAGCCTGGGTTAAGTATTAATCCTTGAAGTTGTGTTCATCTGTCAAATTCAGTACTGATGTTCAAGTGAGGACTGAGAATCTATCACAGCTATTTGGTTGGCCCCTTTCTTCAATTTGATTCTTTAAGTGTAGCAGCAATAATTCACCATTCCTCAAATTACTTTGATGAATACAATTGATTATTTTATTCGCAACATCTAAGCACAGTTATATAGCACAGTTTTACTATTCCATATATTTTTGTGATTGTGGGTTATTAATTATATAAATGGACAATTATTTGCTTTCAATACTTTGCAGCTGAAAATTCTGCCTTTAATGCTCTCATAATTTTGTTGATTTTGAAGCTGGCCAGAGTTCCAAAAGTATATCCACTGATAGCAAAGTCTTTTTTAAGAGGAGAATTAAAGTTTTCACAATTCAAGCCAGTTCAGCAGTGGTTAGATATAAATATCCTGACTCTGCTTGTAACAGCACAGCTCTACTAAGGAAAAGTGCTTTATCAACACTTAACATCCCTTTCCTATGGCAATATTGCCCTGTAGAATAGAAGAATGTTACCTAAGAGTGAGAGGATTAGTTCAGATAAATGCTGGGTTATATTTGAATGCTTTTGAAATATTCACTCACATTCTTGCTGGGAGCCTTAAGATGCTACCTCGCCATACCTTGTTAATGGACTTTCACTTCAAAATACATAGCACATGTTGCAAGTATAGGAACTGCTTTTTTTAATTATCCATTGTAGGTTTGGCATTGGCTGTGTAGCTCAGGCTTGGCTTTGCCATCTTTCCTTAGACGCATGCAGTGTGACTTAGAGGGCTACCACTGTGAGCAGGTGGATGCCTGGTGGCACAGTTAAAGGAGGCTGCCTGGGGAAGTGGCAGAATTGCTGTCCCTGGAGGTTTCAAGAAATGTACAGATGTGGCCCTGAGTGAAATGGCCTATTGGGCGTGATGGTGATGGGTCAGTGCTTGGGTTAGATGATCTTAGTGGTATGTTCAAACACAACGATGCTATGACTGCCCGCATCATCATCCCTCCAATCACTGGGATTCTTTTTCCTTTATCAGCCATAGCTCATGGCTCAAATCAGGGAGTATCATTTCTGAAAGTCAGATGCACAGGGAAAGATGGAGATGTTATGGCTCTGCTGTGCTACTTCTGTCTCACTTGTATGGGAGAAAGTTGAAGGGGAGGCTGTTCACTTCTTTGGTCATTCAGCTGGGGAGCCATTACAGAGGAATGTAAGCACATAGGTTCCTTGTCAGCTCTGTGGTGGAAGAGGGCAGAAGTCATCCAAATTTTAAAACTTATATGAACGTGTAAAGAAAACATCTTAATGCACTTCCTAAGCATATGCAAGATGCTAACTTAAAGTGAGATTTTAACTAGTATTTCTAACATATTATTCTACAGTGTTTTCTGACTCAACAATTCTGTTCAAACTGTAAAGACAGACTCCTGATACTCCCATGTATGCCGTGCTTTGTAGTAGACGCAAGTAGATAAGTAGAGAAGCAGATAAAATTCTGTAGTTCTTAAAAGGGAAATATACTTTCCCACAAACCTTCTGAAATACTCAGAACAAACTGAAAACAGCAGTTTACTGACACAAAACATGAGCACAATGGCCTCAAATGGAAGAATAAGTGGGTAGCAGATCTTTCGTTTGTCCTGCTGCATGACACCACTTGTCACAGTTCTGTAAGAAAAATCCCATCTTTGCTGCAAGACAGACAATAGTGGCTGTGTTACAGGATAAGGAGCATGTAAAATAATTTCATTATTCATTGATTCTGAATGTCTTAGCTCTTACTGACAGTAAGAACTGCTTCCTTCAAGCACCTTGAGTAGTATACAAAGCTTTTAAGCAAAACAAAACCTTAGCAGTTAGTGAATAAATTATATAACACTAGGAAAGTTTTTCTAATCTGTAATTTTAAATATTAATTTTTAGCTTTTCTATGTGATGTAGCCATTTAAACTAATTATAAAATACACCAAACACTTCTGGTCTTTTTTGTGTTTTTTTTTTCTTTTCTTATGAAGGCTATTTTTTTTATATATAAAACACGCTGTCTTGGCTAAGAAATACAATTTGTTGCAGCTATCTGATTTGGTTTTATTCATTTATATTTTCATAAATATTAATGTTATTTACAATAGTGCAATACTGAAGTTAACATTTTCTGTTAAGCTGAGGTTCATTAAGCTTATAGAAGCTATCTTTGATGTTCCAAACACAGCATAGGAGAGCAGCCATTAAACATCAGGACCGTCAATCAAAATATTTCTCATTTTTCATAGAAAATACCTTTTTTATTCATTATATTGTGTCTTAGATTGATAGAATTTCACATGGAAAAATTTAAGCTACTTAAAATCTGATGGAAATAGTGGATGTTGACTGAAATTGGTTAAATTCTAAGTTAAATTACAGTGCAATTACAAGTAGTGCATGCTGTCTTTCACCAAGTATTCTGGTCGAGAAACACTAAGAATTTGATTGATAGCTTTACGCTTTACTGTTTTACCTTCTGCTCTCAAATTAATGTGTGGTTTATGGTTAATATATTCTGCAGAACAACTACTGTCTGAGTTATTTTAAGTCCCTGGATTGTATGCATATATTTATCTTTAAAAAAAAAAAAAAAAGAATTAAAAATACAAGAGGGAATTCCTTGACATTTCTTGATGAGGAATGAAACCTGATATTAAAGGAGATCAGCCGAGTCTCAAAATTCCATAGACATGTGTAAAACAATCTGTTTGTTTGTTTGATTTCTGTTTTGGTGTTAGATAAACTGTTAGAGACAACAAGAACAAAAGAAAGGTGTATTTTGTTAACAAAAGCTTTTCTTTATTCTCCCTTGGCCATACAGTCATTCCCAGCACAGCACCGCAACGCGTCCCCCCACAGTGAGCTTGCAGCGGACCATTTCTGTGGAAGGGTAAGATGATTCTCTGTTGAAGCTGCCCATAGAGCACTCAGATATCACTGTGCCAGATGCCAAACTCCCCACATACACACAGGACTTCACTGCTCGTATTGCTGCATGCTGCAATGTTTGAGTCAGTGAGATGCAGAAATAAATGCTTTCAAATTAACACTGGTTCTTTTTAGGTACTTATATTGAGAAGTTTAGTTTTCGTTGAGATATCTGTCAAGAATATCTGTCATATATCTCACTTCCTGTTTCACCTCACTTGATTAGTATTTGCATGTATTAGGTGTAAAATGGTTACGAATAATCAGGGAATTCCCCATGAAGTCTTCCTGTTTTTTCAGTATTTGCATGAATTCATTTTGGAAAAGCAGTATCCTGGGCTAAGGTTGAAGAAATACTGATAGCAAACAGTAATCCCATGCTGGTGTATGTCTGTGTATATTAATATGTTAGTTGTAGAAGCATAGCTCTGCGTACTTATCTGACTCCGTTTTAACAGAAATAATTGGGTAAAATATGAATAATTAATAACTACAGTTAATATTTTTGCATATTTATGATATTAGAAAAACTGGTATTTAACACTGAACTATTTAGATTTTGGTTGCTATTACTGGTGTAATTTCCAGAAAATACTACATTTATTTATCTGTTCCCATAGAATTGTGGAACTGTCTGAAGTATTTTGTACTCAGGGATAACAACTTGTCATGGGCTACTCCTAGATCCTATTTTCAAAGCATCTCTCAATCACAATAGAAGTGGGAATCCAAAGTTTCCACACAGGAAAGGTATCATCTTGCATTTTTTTTGTGTATTACAACCCCACTGTGCTGCAGTGAGAAAAGAAAACAGTAGATAAAGGAAGTCCTCTCTCCAATGAAGCCCAAAATGTTTTTGCGACAAGTCTCAATACAAAATACTAAACAACTGAGGATTAAAAAAAAAAAACCTCATAATATATATGTATTTAAAATGTATTATGACTCCTAAATTAATTTTCCACTGAAAACAAGACTAATTAATAAAGTTGTTAGAGGAGAGGCCCTTATGGGTTAAAGGCTTTTTTCTGGAAGGCAATTTTATAAATGAAGTTCTGATCATCCTGACTTCTTGCTCAAAGCAGGGCTAATTTCAAATTTAGATCCAGTTTCTTGAAGCCTTGTGTAATAAAGCTGGAATTGTCACCAAATGCTGTTGGAAGGGACCTCAAGGATCATGAATCTCCAACCCCATTGCTACATGCAGGGCCACCAACCTCCACATTTAATACGTGACCAGGCTGCCCAGGGCCCCATCTGATCTGTCCTTGAACACCTCCAGGAACAGGGCATCCACAGCCTCTCTGGGCAGCTGTTCCAGCACCTCACCACTCTCTCTGTAAAGAACTTCCTCCTGACGTCCTACCTTCCCTCCTTCAACTAAAAACCATTTCCACTTTTCCTGCTGTTATCAACTCTTTCAAAGAGTTGACTCCCCTCCTGTTTGTAGGCTCCCTTTAGGTATTGAAAGGCTGCAATGAGGTCACTCTGCAGCCTTCTTTTCTCCAGGTTGAACAAGCCCAGCTCCCTCAGCCTGTCTTTGTAGGGGAGATTCTCCAGTCCCCTGATCATCTTTGTGGCCCTCCTCTGGACCCTCAGGGGTCTCCAACCTTGGACACAGTACTCCAGATGGGGCCTCACAAGAGCAGAGTAGAGGTGGACAATCACCCCCCTGTCCCTGCTGGCTACCCCCTCTTTTGATGGAGCCCAGGATACCATTTGCCTTCTGAGCCACAAGGGCACACTGCTGGGTCATGTTAAGTTTTTCATCTATCAAGACCCCCAGGTCCTTCTCCACAGGGCTGCTCTCAAGGACCGCTCCTCATAGTCTGTATGGATGCCTGGGATTCCTCCAGTCCAAGTGCAAAACTCTGCACTTTGCCATGTTGAATCTCATCAGGTTCACCTGAGCCCACCTCTGAATGGCATCCCTTCCTTCCACTGTGTCAACCTCACCACTCATCTTGGTGTTGTCAGCAAACTTGCTGAGGATGCACTCAATGCCGTCATTGATGTCACTGATAAAGATGTTAAAGAGTACCAGGCCCAAGACAGAGCCCTGGGGGATGTCGCTCGTTACCAGTGTCCACCTGCACACAGAGCCATTAATGACCACCCTCTGTTTGTGGCCTTTCAACCAGTGTCTTATCCATTGAGTGGTCCACCCATCAAATCCACATCCCTCCAATTTGGAGATAACGATGTGGTGGGGGACCGTGTCAAAGGCCTTGCTCAGGTCCAGGTAAATGACATCAGTCGCCTTTCCCTTGTCCACCAATGCCGTCACTCCATCATAGAAGGCCACCAGATTGGTCAAGCATGACCTTCCCCTGGTGAAGCTGTGCTGGCTGTCTCGGATCACACATTCATTCCTCATGTGATCAAGCATGTCATCCAGGAGGATCTGTTCCATGATCTTCCCAGACAAAGAGGCGAGACTCACCAGCCTGTAATTAAAGGTCAGGCTGGATGAGGCTCTGAGAACCTGATTGGTTTTCAGATGTCCATATTGATTGTAAAAGAGTTGAACTAGATGACCTTTAAGAGTCTCTTCCAATTCAAACGACTCTATGATTCTGTGTATTCACAGGCTCTGGGTAACCCATCTCAGTGCTTAAACATCCTCATATTAGATTTTGTTTTTGTCTTTCACTCTCTAAACATTCCCCTGCCCTTTCCTCAAACCAATTCATGAAGAGATTGATGTTAAGGAAAAAAAAAAAAAAAAAAGAAAGAAAGAAAAAAAAGAATTGAGTGAATAGAGATTTAAGGAAAGAAATTCTATTATGATGTCTCTGACCTGGTCTACTGGACTCTGTAATAAGGAGGTACCCTGCAGACTTAAATTCCCATTGAAATTTGATAATCAGTTTGTCTGCATGAATTTTTAGATACATTGCAAAATCTGCACTGGCCACGCAGACAGCTTGCATCTATTGTGTATGAATCATTAGAGCAGTGGGAATCTGCAAATGATATTACAGGTCTCCTGCTATTCAGGAGGTAGAAGAGTATCTGGCTTGTAATTATTACTAATCAACTGAGGCTGAGTCATATTTCATTTCATGTAGGAAAGTGGGACTGTTAGCCAGTTACACCACTGAGCAAATAGAAGCAATCAGCTCAGCTCTAAATATTTCATTATAATAAAGCTCAATTTAGCCTAATGTTTTTGTGAAGTCCTTACTGCCAAATATGTTTACAGCTAATTCAATTTGATGTCAAAACAAAGTTATTTTTCTCTTTTAGGAACCCAGCTTCCATCTGTAGAGTTCTGTATTTAGGTGACTTATTATATTGCTTTTGAGTTGCATTTCATAAATGGCTACTTTACTTGCTAGGCATCCCTATCACACACTGAGATTTCAGGCCAGCGTGCTGGCTCTGTCTGACCAACTGTGTAGTCACTGCAGTAATACAATTAGTGCATTCTCTGAAGGAGAAATGAAATATTGGAGGGACAAAGAAATGCAGGTGGAATCACATTCAGTGGCATTTATTCCTTTCCACCTTGTTGAATATATGGTAATTGAGCTGGCTAGCACAGATGTTTTAAAAACTTCAATAGGTTTTTAATTTAGGTATTGGGTTCCTATCAAAGTAAAAGCATTTTTAAGTCCTGCTTTTGTAGACTTCATGTTTTGCAAAATAATAGATCACGAAGTGAAAAAAAAAGGTCAGGATTTCTTTAAAGCTTAATTTTTCTCTATTTTCAAGCAATATATGTACATGAGGTACATGAGGTCAACAGATCTATGTGTACAAAGGCATGAAATTCACAGCTGTTGGATGTCACTGTCAGTGCAAACTCATTAGTGACTTACCTAATCGGTGTGGATTACAGACAAGAAGACTCTAATGTTTGGATGTGAAAATATTGTTAATCTGAGAGGTTTTTTAATTATTTCAATGAGCAATTTTAACTGTGAATATTCAACTCAGGAAAAATGTTGGATGAAAACTAAAGGCTGTTACCTGGAAATCCTACTGAGCTATCTCACAAGGCTACATCAGTAGCTTATGAAAACTATTCTTTCTCCAGCTGACATTCAGACTAAATTGTATTTTACATGATAACAGTCATCTCTTCTGCTGAGATGCTTAGAAACTGGGATTTCAATTTCTTTCATCGAGAGTGTTTTGAATATCTCATCTATAAATATTAGTATGCAAATAAATAGCATTTGAACGATGACTGAGGATAAGAATTTTTATTCTGAACAGGGCAGATATTACAGGCAGCTTTGTGTTTCAAAAGTATCTCATATAAAGTGATTCTGGATGCTTGCTTCCAATGGACTCTGTATTGATATTTCATACACAGCTTAGAGGCATTGCTGGTTTTAGGTATTCTCTTAACCTTTGAATACCTCCTGTCTCCCAGCAGGGTGGAGGGGTTGCCTATCACCATTTCCATCTCACCTAACTTCATTTACAAACTGAAAAGGTGAAGCAGTCATGGTTTATAGTCTTTAAAAGCAGAATGGAAAGCAGTCTTTTTAGTTTATGCCTGTGCTGGGGGGAAATGGGTGGAACAGAGATGCAGATTTCCTGATTTATTTTGATTATTAGCACCTTATTATTACCTTCTAGATCAGGGAAGAGAGAGAAATGATCATGTGAAACAAAGTATAAATGAATAAGTGATTTGGAATAACCATCTTCCTTTCAAAGCTACAGAGCATATTACTTGTCCAACATTGTTGCTCTTGAATTCAGTGTAATTCCTCAAATCTAGGAGACATGCTTCTGTGCCTTTGAGGTAAATGTCATGCACTGGGGTAAAAATACGGACCAGTTTCACTTTTCAAGTAAGAAATTATTCCTTCATGCCAAGTCTGTCTTGCTGGCTGTAAGCATAAAACATTGCCTGGTGCACAGGCTTTAATTTCTCTACTAAGGACAAAATGAAAGGCTATTAAAGTCCGGGGGGGGTTCCTACAAAGCAAATAAAATTGCCCA